GGAATAAGGCAAAGCAGCGCGAAAAGAACAGACCATCACACACGACAAAGTTATAAAAAAGTATTACAAAACAACGCTTCTAGACATGTTACGCGGCACAGTACAACCCATCGAAATGCAATATCAGAAACGACACAAGAAAAAATAGACACTCCAATGAAAGACAATGTTATAAAAGAGATGAAAACCAAAATGATGACAAGAAAAACTGTATGGAAATATGAAATTTTGCGAAAGAAAATAAGGTAAGGCGATGACATGAGAAAGGTAAACACTACAGCACAAGACTTTGTATAACATGCGTCGAAAGCACAGACTAGGCGATCAAAAGAATGACATTGCGATGACTACAATGATGCTTAATACCACGCAATAGAAACAAGCACACGGAATGATAAAACGATTTATTACATGCTTTTTGGTGGTTTATAGAAATATATCAGTGATATAAAACTGGTAATTTCACTGTTTGAAACAGTGAAATTACCACTTTGATAATTTCACTGTTTTGAATTTAAGCCCCTTACGTTGTTTCAGTGAAATATCAGCGTGCACAGTACTGGGTACCAACTTAATGACGTGACGTCGTAAATGACGTCACGTTGTCTTATTATGTGGCGCGCTTTTCATTCAGTATTAGGTTAAATGTCTTTTTTAAAACGTTTCTTTGCATATAATAAAAAGAAAATTTGTTTTGTTTAGTGTTAGATCGAAATATATTTCACCTTGTGAACACCAAAAGTTCATATTTCACTCGTGGCTGCGCCACTCGTGAAATATACCTTTTGGTGCTCACTCGGTGAAATATATTCCGATCTTACACTGAACTAAACAAATATCCTCTATTTAAACCAAGACAATGCGATGAAACCAAACTTACACAATTCTATGGAAGGCAATGCAACGTAAGCCACAGCGGTGGTATGACAAGAAGATAACGTGACGGTTCGCAAAATATAGTGAGGAAAAAGCCAATGCAAGACAACCTAACATGTGACAAGAAGTTAATAAGCCACAACAACGTGAAGAAACGAAAAATAGAAGTATATACAAAGACAATAGGAGACAGCCATAAAGTTAGAGGGACTGTTGTAAGACATAAACTTGTTCAATTTTGATTTTATAAAACCATATTTCACTTGCTATCGATTAATATTAAGATGAAGTTGTTTTGCTTAATTAAATGTTGAGTCTCAGCTTCTGTAAGAAATTATATATCATGCAGAGTTAAGTTTTAAACAATAATTACACCAATGCAATAGTTTCATCACTCTGGCAATAAAATTTAAGTTTTTATTGTTATCTACTTAATAAAAAACTAATCATACAGTTTCAGTACTTAAAAAGAACTAACTTTTCTTCTGAAGGTGTTGAAATGATAGGAAATTTAAGACTTTCACGATTGTAACATTTCATTGCAGGTGGTTTATAAACTTGGCACTGCATTGTGAGTGCATTAACGTAAAAATGACGTAGACAAGAGATGAAAGCTTCGGGCGGTTTAATTAGATTTATCTTATCTTTTCGCATCCCAGCTTTACTGTTTATCTAAATACATATCTAATGCCACCCACCAAATGGAGTATGGGATTGTAGAGAGAGTATGCATAAAAAGTGGTTTTCAAAAATTGATGAAAAAACTATGATAAAAAAGAACAACCCTGCCTCAACATATTAAAGAACCAAATTACAACCGCAAAGATAACCCGCATTTCTACAATGAAAATAAATATGTTTGTTAAAGATTCTGCTGAATAAGATGAATACGAGCTAGAAATAATGCTTTTCATAATAAAATAAAATTAAATTTGATTACAAAAAATGTATATGATTGAATATAAAAGTTCCAACAAATAATGTATGTAATCTTAAATGTACAAACAATTACAATGTAATTGTTAACTTAGCTCAATTAATATATATTCAGAGATGCAACTAAGAATTGAGACTACTTTAATATATTTGTTTGCGGAAAAATATGTAAATAATTATATATTATTCATAATGTATCATATTTTTTTTGCACTTTGAATTGTACTGCCAAAAAATTTTCTTAGCGATGAACATGTGTATGTTTTTGCCAATAAAATAATTGACTTAATTTGTTAAATGGTTTAGTTCCCTGACAAAATCAACCTGAAGGTAAAGATCTCCCGCAATGACGGTCACCGCAATTTTGTTAATTTGCTTAAGGCTCAGATGGACACTCCAAAAAAGTATTATCAAAACTGAAGGTTCCAATGTGTTAAACGAACAGGGAAGGTGAAGATCTCCTGGAGTGTGTACGGACAGGGGATAATGCTGATTGTTTAAGAGAAGGTCAGGTTGACAGTTTTAAGTATATATTCCAATTTGTTATGTGAATAGGGAAGATGAAAGCCCCCTGCAGTGACTGACCTTTGAATACATTTAGATATACTGTTTCAGAAAAAAATCCCAAAATGTGTATGAATTGTAAATTGTAAAGGGTATAAAGCTTTCATGAAATATTTTTATAAATTTTAAACGTTAAAATAATGTTGTTGCCGTACTCTTAGGGTCGGTTTTAAGACGATATGTAACATAGAATGTCTCTGTTATTTTACACACAAAATACAGTAAATAAAGAGAATAAAAACAGGAACGGATTTTAGAGTGTTTCAAGAAGGTTATAGCTTCCAACAAAATCGAACTAAAATAAATTTGTATAAACTAAACTAAAAGTATAAAATGTTCAAATTAAAACAAAATTAATCTGATTAAGAAATCTTTATTTCGCATGCAAAAGCTTTATTATCTTATCATTTCAAGTAGAACTACCCTTTGCAAGCAGGTGGTGCTTATCTGCTAAAATAGAGAAAACACCTTGATAACAGTCCAAGAAATACGGGAAAATTTTACAATTCTCACAACGGTAGATGGTGACTCATAATGTCTGGAAAAGATCAATAGCACCTACAAAGTGAAAGCCGCTGAAAGATATGTCTCGTACTACCTGTTCTGGTAAACTAATTAACTATAAAACAATCAGAGATAATAGAATATCCTGGAGCATGTGCCTATTATTTTCTTACCAGGTAAGTTATTGCCTTGCACTTAATTGCTTTCCTTCTTAAAACAATATTTCCAGAATCAGATTTTGTAGTTTTCTTTATGATGTCTGCACGGAATAATTTTATATTTTTTGTTGTTGCTAATTAGTCAGATATTTTTCTTTTATTTTAAACTTTATTGTTTGTTCATAAATTATGCATTCTTTGCTCCTTTTCCAACAATGAAACGATCTGGCCTTCTGGTAAATATCGTTATTTAGATTTTATTTCAGAATTTATTTTCAAATGAAATGGTGGGAAATGTATTCCGGTATTGCGCGCATGTTTCGGTTAAATGAATTTTATAGGCATGAGAAATTATTATTTATTATTGCGAGCTCTGTTATACTGGAATACTAAAATCACAGAATGAATGAATGATAAACATGCCCACATATATATCGTAACAGATGCTAGCTAGTGTTGGCAGTTTTTTATTTGTTTGGGTCGTCAGATTATTTAATTATTCATTTCTTTATTCAAATAAATAAATTTATTTATTTATAACATCTTCTTTCTTTCTTCTTTCTTTCTTTCTTTCTTTCTTTCTTTCTTTCTTTCTTTCTTTCTTCTTTCATTCTTTCTTTCCTTCTTTCTTTTTCTATTTGCACATGATATCTTTACATCATCTATTTTGTATGCTTTTGAAATTTACGTTATTCAACAAATTATTTAAAGATACATGCATTTACTGAATGAAATATATCAAATATATTTCACTGTACGTTATTTACCAGGTCGAAACTCGGTTTACATTTCTTCCTGCTACCTTAAAAAACTTCAGCTTCATCTTCAGCTTCAGACGGCATCCATGATCCTTCGAGTCTGTGCGAAGACAATAGTTAAAACGAATGCATGTAAAAGTTGAATGTCAAGGTAGAGTTGAATTTCAAGAAAGTTCGGAGATCTGAGTTCAAGCTAGATTCGTTGGGCCGATCAGTTGTTAGCGATCAGTTGGCTAATCAGTTGGGCCGATGATTAGGTATATTAGATTTTCCTTTCGTCTGCTTGATGTCTTAATAGTGTGACACGAATTTTATATAGGCAAGTTTTATTCTATAATTAATTTATTTTATTAATACGCTTGATTACTATTGTTTATTATTATTATTATTATTATTATTATTATTCGTAATCGTATTATTATTATTATTATTATTTTTATTATCTTTATTATTATTATTATTATTATTATTATTATTATTATAAAGAACAATAATATGCGAAGAGTAGAGATGTTACTTTATTTGGAGTTCCTTCCCCTGATACTACCCGGGCAAGGTGAGAAGCGGGTATACACTACGATATAAATAGCAACACGTATACGTACATGTATGTATGAAATGTGTGGTGTTTACATCAACAAATTTATACATAATGATTAATGACTTATTAAAGGTGTATCCCAGGGGCGTAGCTAGGGCGATTTTAAATATACGCACAAATGTACACGCAGGAGAACAAGGGGGGCGAATAGCCCCTTGCAGGTCCAGGGCAGAGCCCTGGTGGGGGTTCTGGGGGCGAAGCCCTCGTAAGCCCCCCCCCCCCCGGATTTAGTCTTTAAAGGAGGATTTGATTGATATACAATTTCACGTGCATTTAATATTACATAAATGTGGTTTAAATCCAAGATGGCATTTTTTATTAAAAACATAATTACACCCAGGGAGCTACTAAACGCTGGCTCTTTCTTATTTAAATGAGAGCCCTCGATACTTCCGTTGTAGAGCTCTAGACCAAAACAAAGCTGAAAAGTTTGATAACAGTTTCTTAAACTATCCGATTTAAAAGTTGTGTATAGATGAGACTGGAATAAATAAATAAATATTAAAATCAATAATATGTAGTTATTGGCGAATGATTACTGTACGAAGGACACAGTCGTAAACTAGCGCGAAATGCTTGGTTTAACACGTCCTTAAAAGAACATATGTATTAAACTAATATAGGGTAATTCTACTTTCGGTTTAGCCAGACTTGTTAAGTATCTTGATATTATTTTACACATTTATAGAAATTTAATTTATAAATATGACATATTATATATACTCATTTTTAGTTATTTGTCTCAGTTTAGGGATAATATTTTATACACAAAAAATGGAGACGTTACAACATGATTCTGCTCATGTACATGGTGAGTGTTTATATTTTTACGGTTCAAATTTAAATCAAGTAAATTAAATTCAGTTTTAGGCATTTAGACAGGTTAAAGTGACATTATGCCCATTCAAGGGTATACAGTGCGTGAACAGGTGAAAGACAAAATAAGTTTTTATATTGCCATAATTCCTTTTAATTTAATAATTTACTTCATATAAACAATAAATAACCCCTGGATCGGAACTGAATTTCTGTAAATATCAATTAGAACTTACCTGAAACGTTTAGTTTATAAAAAGACTGAGGCAGTCTTTTTATATTTTAGGCAGATTTTAAATTTTATCCTAAACCTTTTCCAAAAGAAACTGTTGGTCAAACACCATTTTAATAGTCAATCTTTTGAAATAGAAAGTCAATTCAGCTCAAATGGACTATGAAAATATGAGCATAATGTCACTATGATAAGTCTACTATTAACACCGTCAATTTCTGTTTATTATACTTTATACATCCCTGGTGTTCCTACTTTCGATTTTGATTTTCATAAATACATATCTGCATTTTATGGTGGCTGATTTGTGCCATGTGGTATTTTCGCTCTGCCAAGGTCAAAACACGATAAAACGACAAAGTGGCACACCAGCCACCATAGCATCTATTTTTTATATACCGATCAGATACAGCTCGAATTCGCTATTCCTTTCATTGGCGTCCGCGCTGAAGCGCGGCGCCCCTCATGGAATGAGAAAGGGCAATTGCAACTTCTCGGGCATTTTAGTCGGGTATGATAGCCGATCATTCCGATTGGTATGATGGTTTTTGATTATTAAAAATGAAATGTCGCGATATGTACAATGAATATGGGACTGGAGAATTTCGCAATGCAAACATATTAAAATGAAATAATCTTTTCCGCTCTTTGGTATATTTTTATCAATCATTTTGTAGTACACAGTGGATTATTATGGTATGTTATTGTTGTACATGTATCCGAAAGCTGTAAATAGAATGGTGACCTTAACATTGTGAAAGTCCGAAAATCTATTTATAGAGGGATGTACTACCTATCGGTAATTCCCGGTCCCTCCCGGTCTATATTTACTAGAGGCCAGCGAATAGTATTACACGTTTACTGTCCGGTCTCTCCCGGTTTTAGAGTAGATGTTTGATATCGTTACAGATAAATAAGTTTTCTTTCCAAAATGAATGTTTATCACTTAGTATGGTTACATAATAAATAAACACAGACCAACTCTCAAATTTATTGATTATTATTATCACGGATTTATATAATATAAATCCGTGTTATTATACATAAACATACAATTCGAAAAAAATACAACAACAATAGCATGTTACATTTTATTTATATGAGATAAAAACACTAAATATGTACAATAATTGAGTAAAAAGGTACATTTTTATGGTATTAATATGACACCATCAACTTTGAAATTTTATATAATTTGTTAATCGCGTTAAGTAAAGATGCTGAAGAATTATTCTATGTTAAAAATAAGATTTTATGAATTATTCAATTGATTGATATTTAAAAATTGATAAAGAAAAATACAAATGTACATGTACATGGTTTAAGAATAAACAATATGATATATTGAAAGATTAACCATAATTTACTGGCTTTTTCCAGTTAATTTTGACTTATAATCGTCGGTCAATATGACAATTGAATTCTTAAAATTTATTTTAACAATTTTAATAACAAAAGTAGTAAAAGAAAAAACTCAGTATTAAAATAGCACATAAAACACACAAAAAAGAATAAAATATGTAAAAAAATATTAAAAAAGATATTACAATTATTATCCCCCGCCAAAAGGCGGAGGGATATAGAAATAGTCTTTGTCCGTCTGTCCTTCCGTCCGACTTTTTTGTCCAGATCATATCTCAAAAATTATTTAAGGTATCAACTTGAAACTGCGTAGGTGGATATATCTCATTGAAAGGAGTGCATTGCACAAGAATGATTACTCTACCCTGCATTATTTTTGAGTTCTTGCCCTTTCAAAATTAATTTTTGTCCAGAGCATAACTCAAAAAGCCTTTGAGATATCAACATGAAACTTCATAGGTGGATATATCTCACTCCGGAGGTGTGCAGTGCATAAAAATGATAACTCTACCTTTAATAAATTTTGAGTAATTGCCCTTTGTTATTTTTCATACTTAACTTTTCCCCTGAGTGGAGCATAACTCAAAAGTGTTTAAGATATCAACATGAAACGTCATAGGTGGATAGATCATATTGAGGAGGAATGCTTTGCGCAAGAATGTTAACTCTTCCCTTTATAATTTTTGAGTTATTGCCCTTTGTTCTTTTTCATGCTATTTTGTCCGGAGCTTTTATCAAAAGTATTTGAGGTATCACTTTGAAACTTTATAGGTGGATAGATCTCATTGAGGAGGAATGCAATACACAAGAATTATAACTCTACCCTGCATAATTTTTGAGTTATTGCCCTTTGTCAGTTTTCAAAATTAATTTTTGTCCAGAGAATAACTCAAAAAGCCTTTGAAATATCAACATGAAACTTTATAGATGGATAGATCTTACTCAGGAAGTGTGCAGTGCATAAAAATGATAACTCTACCTTTAATAAATTTTGAGTAATTGCCCTTTGTTATTTTTCATACTTAACTTTTCACCTGAGTGGAGCATAACTCAAAAGTGTTTAAGATATCAACATGAAACGTCATAGGTGGATAGATCATATTGAGGAGGAATGCTGTGCGCAAGAATGTTAACTCTTTCCTTTATAATTTTTGAGTTATTGCCCTTTGTTCTTTTTCATGCTATTTTGTCCGGAGCTTATCTCAAAAAGTGTTAGAGGTATCAACTTGAAACTTCATAGGGGGATAGATCCCAATGAAGAGGATTGCAGCACACAAGAATAATAACCTACCCTGCATTATTTTTCAGTTATTGCCCTTTGTTATTTTTCATGCTTATTTTTTTATCCAGAGCATAACTAAAAAAGCCTTTGAGATATCAACAGGAAACTTCATAGGTGAATGTATCTCACTCAGGAGGTGCGCAGTGCATAAAAGTAATACTCTACTCTTCATAATTTTTAGTTATTGCCCTTTGTTACTTTTCATACTTAATTTTTCACCTGAGTGGAGCATACCACAAAAATTGTAAGAGGTATTAACTTGAAACTTCATAGATGGATAGATTTCATTGAGGACGAGTGCAGCACACAAGAATAATAACCTACCCAGCATTATCTTTCATTTATTTCCCTTTCTTATTTTCAGCCATCAGTATTCACATTACCAAAATACCACTTTAAATTGAATCATTCTGCTCTACTACATATACATTCTTCCAATGAGCAAACACATTCGGCGGGGGATGGCCATGCTAACATTGCTCTTGTTATATAATAAAACAATTATGCTCAACATGATCAACATGTTATCGCATGGTTTCGACCTTTTTCTTTGTTCTTACTAACACATTATACTCAGTACATTTCAATGAGCATTCGAAAATTGTATTGATATGTAGCAGTACAGTTTTTTCATTGATTCATATAGGAAAAACCTCGACTGCTATATAGCAGTTGAGTTTTTTCGCCCATGTTTATATCAGTGTAGTTTTTTTCACAGAGACTCGTATATATATATAATCAATAAAATAAAATAAAATAAGTAAATAAATAATTAAATAAAATACAATGAAAACTATTACCAAAGATTATTAATACACTTGTTACTATATATAGTAACAAAATTGCCTATGATTTCAACTGATTATTAGTGTCACGTGACCTATTATGAGTTTGCGGCCCGGGCCGAGAACTAGTTATCAGCCCGCAGAACATGTGCACGTGCACAAACTGAAACAATGACGTCATATTTTACGTCATCAAACAGTTAACTGTAAAAGTGAAAGTAGGTTGTCAGCACGAATCGCTTTATTTTTATTATGATAGCTTAAGCGTATTTAGTACAAACACATTTTTGTTACTATTGAAATTTGAAGAAATAATACGACAAATTCATTCCGAAAAAAACAACAACAAAAACTTGATTCTAGATTCTACTGCTTTGAACACACAAACATCTATAAACAGTAAACATCTCTGCACAGAATAGTAGAAGAGTAGACAAGAATTTCAACGAAAGAACTTTGTTGTTTGTTTTTTTTTTTTAAATGCTACTATTAGATCTACCAAGTGTATTAAAGACATTAATACACGTCAGAGTAGGGCCGGAAGGTGATAATCGGCCCTGAATGAATAATGGCCATCGGGCTAAAGCACTCGGGTCCATTATTCATTTTGCGGGCCGATTATCACCTTCCGGCCCTCTCCTGTCGTGTATTAACCTCTTATTAATGATATGAAATTTACTCTTATTTAATCAAAAGGTACATCCGTTGAATAAATTATTTCCACTGAAAAAAGCCCTTAAATCTTGAATCAACGTTGGTAACATTTTACAATCTGCCTCTAACATTGGATGTCTTTTCTATATCTTTTTTTTTTGCGGCAGCGAAAACAGCTTGAAAAAACTGTTATCATAAATAGCTATAATGTTGCTAACGATTTATTTATTTATTTATTTTCGTTACAAAAAAAAAACAACAAAAAAAAAACATCATGCCATTTCGATAAAATAGTTTTAGTATATGAAACTCGTTAGTTACGAGGATATAACATTGGCTGGGCGACATCTCAGGATTTTTCTGAAAAATATTGTTTCGGCCTAACGGCCTCGCCATTTTTTTAGCAGGAACATCCCTTGATGTCGCCCCAGCCGGTGTTATATCCGACTCTTTTCATATACTTTAACTATTACGTAATATAACCAGTGTCATATTTTTACTAAGTGTGAACATACACCTTCGCTAATATTAGCCGAAATTGTCAAAACATGTTGCAAATTGAATTCAGAGTTTAATTGACAATAATATTCAGCCTGTAATCATCATATTATTATTGGATTTCCACGCCCCTGGTTACGGAAGGATAACTTTTGAATGATTTAAATGACTTTCGTTGCAATCAACTTGTTAATAATAGAGTTATGTCCCTTTTTATGTGAATTATTGGTTTCTGCTGCATAACTTTTAAAAGATTTCAGTGTCTGTGTTGATGCTTGGCAAGTACATGTTTGTTATATTAAAACACAGGTCAAGTTCGATTTTGGCTACAACAAACCAATTATTGATAATAGAGTTACACCACTTTTTAAGAAAAAAAGAAATTGTCACTTAAGTGAATGTCATCAGCATTCTTTAACAGTTAAACTTTCTGTTACTGGAACATTTGTTTTATTACTTCATTACTTCAAAGACCATTCTATTACTTAAGATACGGTTATCAAGAATTTCTGTCTTTCAGTGTCATGCAGTTGGAAAATCAGACATGCACAATCTCTAAATAAGCCTAGTACAAAGTCAATTCTAAATACTCTTATTTCAGCCATTCAAACAGAAACCGCCACCACTCTACTATCTCTTAAAAAAGAAATTGACGCTTTCCGCGCGGCGCTGAATGACGAACAGAAAAAGAAAGACTCTCTGAACGGTGTAATAGATAAACTGCGGGCCGAGCTTATCGAGGAAAGAAACAAGCGAAAACATTTTGAAGAAACAATCGCAAGTCAACAAACTGAACTTGAAATAGTAAAGGTAGCGATAACATCTCAAGAACATGGTCTAAAAGCTATTGGACCACGCATTGCATTCTTTTTCTCCAATAATTGTTGGTATCGCACCGTGGGCGACTATTATATTTTCGAACGTTGAAACAAACGAAGGTGGGGCATACAACAACGCTACTGGAGAATTTGTTGCCCCCAAAGCTGGTTTGTATGTCTTCTTCAGCACGATCCTGGCTGGTCCGGGACTTATTATTGAAACAGTGCTACAGGTCAATGGCAACAACAAAATGCTAATATACTCTGGCGGATCCGCGCGAGGGTCTGGTAGCAATATGGCAGTACTCCCTCTCAAAGTTGGCGATGTTGTTAAAATGGTTAAACACGGACCTTGGGGTTCAAAACCGTTTACAATACATCACCACTGGAGCACATTTTCTGGATTTTTATTGAAAGCAGACGAAATATGCAAATGAGACGTATCACGTAGACCGTCACGTTTACCCGTCGTTAAAACGGGTTTGGTCGGATTTCAGCCACAAAAATTAAAATATATATACATGTATAATTATGACATTAACACAAAAATATCTCGCTCTTTTTGTAAATATTTACATAAGCGGCTTTGTAGCTATGTAAGCGGCAATGTGCTTCAACAGTGTCAGACTAATAATTAACACAATGTCCAGTTTTGGTTTAAATTAAAGTAAAACCAAGACTTTTATAGGAAAACATACATCAAAGTGAATTTTCAACTGTATATCTACTGATGAAAAGTAAAATCGTACATGTATTAACATTTAAAGTCATGTGACGCTCAGTTTTGAAATAAAAGAAATCTAACTAAGTATTCCTATTAAAAAAGGGTTTTTCACCTGATCAGCCAGAAATTAAGTCCCTGCAAATTTAACGTGTACACTGCTAAAGTTCTTTAATGATTAATTTGGAATAATTTTGCTTAGTTTATACTGATTTATTTTAGTTTGATTGTTTTGGAAGCTATAAGCTTATTTTATTGAAACACACTCGAATCCGTTCCTGGAACCAACAGCACTAATAAATGAGTGCAGAGTTCCTTGCTAATGGAAGCAACGGCTTGCCCCTGACGGGGTTTGATCCCACGCGGCCTTAGATTACTAGTCTGACGCGTTAAACACTCGAACACGCCGCCATCATTATGTCCGTGAAGTACGCGGGCTAACGGGCTAGCAGTCTAGCGGGCTAACAGTATGAACTGAGCGGGCTAGCAGTCTAGCGGGATAACAGTGTGAACTGGGCGGGCTAGCAGCCTAGCGGGCTAACAGTGTGAACTGGGCGGGCTAGCAGTCTAGCGGGCTAGCAGTGTGAACTGGGCGGGCTGGCGGGCCAGCGGGCTAAAATCTAAAACTTTATTGATTGAACATAAAAACGTTATGATACATTACCTGGCAGTGTGAAGTGGGCGGG